TAAATTTAGATTAAATAAATAATACAATAAAACATAATAAAAAGGGACAAAACAAATAAATAAGGTTCCACAATTAAAAGCATACGAGTAGTCAAAATACCTACATGAAAAGTACCATGCCCCTCCAAGAAAAAATTATTACCCCTCCAGTTTTTTGGAACTCCCAAACATTCGTCTATCTTGCCACGTGTACGGCCCATATCCCTCCGGCATCCAATCACACCAACATCACGATGTCATTCCAGTAATTTCACCCTCCTTCGGATGAGAAAGGACATTTTTAGCAACTTTTCGGATGAAAACGAAATCCATTTCTCTGCTCCTTTCTTAACAGTACTTTCGAGCAAGACATTTTCCACAGAGAGAGAGAGAGAGAGAAATACGAAGGAAGTCTCGCCGGAAAATCGTACGTCACGTTATCGTCGCCGGTTCTTCACCGGGGAAGGGAACCGCCATGGGAAGTCTAGACCCAACAGCACAAGAGTTCAGGCCGAGGCCGAGATACTGCCTCGTTACTCCTCCATCTCCTATCCCCACCGAAATTCCGCCCCTTAGAGCTTCACCTCCCCAGCTTTTCTATCCGTACGCTCCTCAAACGGTTGCGTTTTGTGATGGATCAGTTGGGTTCCCGCAGTATGCAGTTCCTGTACCGCCGGCGTATGTGGTGGCGCAGCCGTCGTTACCTCCTCCGTCAACGGCGGCGACGCGTTCTCTGTTGCTTACGTCGGTTCCTTGTGACGTGAGCGAGACGTTGGTGCGGAGGGAATTGGAGGTTTTCGGGGAGGTTCGCGGGGTCCAGATGGAGAGAGTTATGGATGGGATCGTGGCCGTTCATTTCTACGATCTGAGGGATGCGGAGAGGGCGTTGAGGGAGATTCGGGCACAGCACATGCAGCAGCAGAGCCGGTTGAGGAACCACTACTTTGGTTTAATGACGTTGGTTCCTGGTGGCGATGGCAACGCGTGCCCACCACTCCCTCCGCCGGCGTGTGGTCTGATCGCAGGTCAGGCCATATGGGCCCACTTCGTCATACCGGCGAGCAACACAGTTCCGGACGGTAATAATCAAGGGACTGTTGTGTTGTTCAATTTGGACCCCGCCGTTTCCGCTTCACAGCTGAAAGAAAATTTCCACGCTTTTGGTAATTATATTTTTGGGGTTTATGAAGGGTTTTAGCTCAATTTTCATTCTTTTAGTTTCTACTTTCTGTTTGTTTAGTGGGAAAACCATGGGAAAAAAGATCTGAAAATTTATGGGGTTTGAGCAAAATTTATGTTACAGGAGCGATAAAGGAAGTTAGGGAGACCCCGGGGAAGAAGCACCAGAAGTTCGTGGAGTTCTATGACGTGAGAGATGCGGCGAAGGCACTCAAAGAAATGAGCGGAAAAGAAATTAATGGGAAGCAGATTTTGATTGAGTTCAGTCGTCCCGGAGGCTATAACCGGAAGTTTTTCAACGCCGGCACTGGCGCTAGCACAATCCAAACTAAAAACCTTGGCTCTGATAATCTTCACAAATTCTCTGGCCACTTACATTCCAATGTTTCCCCTCATTCTTTCCAGTCCCAGATCCGACCCTCAGCCAACAAAGCGTCAAATTCCCGGAACCCTAATGTGATCAGTAGTAGCAGAAAGACTTCTCTAGAAGCTTCGTTGAGTTCATTGTCGTTGAGCGCAGGTAGTGCCGGCGGAGTTGAAGAGAAAGTTGCCAACGGAATTTCGAAAAAGAACGCCAAAAAGAGCCAAAATAGTCGATCAACAGCGTCTAGTTCTAAGCAGCAGCATTCCCGGAATCGGCCATGGAAGAGTAAACAGGTGAAGAAGTTCGACCCTCGTTTCCTTATTAGTGAAGAGGCCATGGAGGAAGCTAATTGCAGAGATTCCCGGACGACCGTCATGATCAAGAACATACCCAACAAATACAGGTTAATTTCTCTCTCTCTCTCTCTTTTTTTCGGTAATTTTGTTTGATTGATTTTGTTTTTGTATCTTACATGTTACAGTCAGAAGCTGCTCCTGAATATGCTGGACAATCACTGCATCCACTGCAATGAGCAGATTGCCGACGGAGACAATCAGCCGTTGTCGGCTTACGATTTTGTTTATCTCCCCATTGATTTCAAGTAATAATCTCTTCCCAATACTCTTCCTTTTTTCAGTCTTTACACTCTGAATTTCGATTTATATGATTTTCTCTGGAATTTAAACAGCAACAAATGCAACGTGGGATATGGGTTTGTGAACATGACGTCGCCGGAGGCGACATGGAGATTATACAAGGCGTTTCATCATCAGCATTGGGAGGTTTTCAACTCCAGAAAAATCTGTGAAGTCACTTACGCTAGAGTTCAGGTGCTCTTCTTCTTCATCTTTTTCCTTTTTTAGAGAAAAAAAAAATTCAGTTACCAATATCAATTATTGTCTGTTAATTGGACAAAAAAAAAAAAGGGTTTGGAAGCGTTGAAGGAACATTTCAAGAACTCGAAGTTCCCGTGCGAGCTGGAGCACTACTTGCCGGTGGTGTTTTCACCGCCTCGAGATGGGAAACAGCTGTCGGAGCCAGTCCCGATAGTGGGTCAGAAGCAGCATATCACTTCCGGCTCTTCCTCCAAAGCCACTGACGACGACGATGACGACGACTACGACTACGATATTGAAACGGCCGGTGGTTCAGAAGAAGGGAGTAATGCTGATAATGCCAATCACCATTCAGGTGAGTCTGACCCAGTTGACTAAAAAACGAACAAGATGAAACTTTCTGGCGGCAGCAATCTAAACGACGGCGGCGGCGGCGATGATGATATAGGTGGTCATGATGACAAAAGATTGTTGCAGAAATCAAATGTGCAATTATTATAGTTCTTTATTTTTCTTAATTTGTTTACTGGAACCAAGGCAGTGTCCATTTACGGCAGAGCTGCTGCGTCTTTCTTCTCTAATCTCTTCTTCTGCTGTTGAAACTGGCTGCGCCAACCAATGGCCAATACCGTGCTATTGAGCTTCGAGCCACCCTCTTCCATAGCCCTGCGCATCCCTCCACCTTCCTAATGAGATTAGCCGCCTGTCGCCTGACCACTGCAGCCATTATCTCCCCCATCAGCTCCTTAACTAGCCGGATGAATCTTAAATACCATGAAAATATTTCTTTCTTTTTTTTGTCTTCTTTTGTACTACGAGTATTGTGTACGAGTAGTGTGGATAATTTTTAATGATTATTTAAATTTGTTTTTCATGTTGTCTGTAGTGTTTCTGGGGATAATATATTGAGAAATATTTTGTACAATAAGGTGAGAGTTAGATTGCACAAAATTAAGCATCGATATAAATAATTTTTAATAATGAACAATGTATTTTTCGTATTGTCTTTGTAGTTTCTGGGGATTTTATTTACACGTATATTTTGTACAATTAAAGATTGAATCATATTCACAACATTAACTAATAATATCCTTAAAATATAAGGTCGTTCATTCATTCCTATAAATAATTGTTTTTGGCGGTCCATGTTTAGATACACATATTTATTAGACTAATGTTTGAAGTTTCTTTTTTTACAAGGATAATGATTAGTAATTAAGTTATGAATTATTAGCAACTGAAGATTCGATGTTAAAACAAGTGATATTTCACTTCCTCCGAAGATTCGATGTTCAAAACAAGTGATATTTCACTCCCCTCGTTAAGGCGCGCCAGTCATTGGGGCCGCATGGTGGAATTCACTAATGTTGAAGTTAAGATGCCAATGAATCGATGTAGTTTAGTAGTAAGATTTTTCTACTAAATGTTGTAGGGTCAATTGGGCTGCTCAGATTTATGGCCTATACCTGTAT